GGGGAAGCAGAAATTGGCAGGTGGGGGTAAGGACCACAGACAACCTTGCTTCCCCCACCAGCCCTACCTACCCCCACTCACCGCGTGGCTGTCCAGCTTGTGGCGCAGGCTCTCAGTGAATTTGTCCAGACACTCCTAGGCAGGAAGAGCAGAAAAAGAGTACCAGGCATGGGGCGGTAGGGCCCTCCCATCTCTAGATCCAGTCTGCTATAGCTGTCTTAGATGGCAGCCCCAGCCCGGCTCTGGCCCCCTCCCACTGCAGACCCCAAGCCAACCCTCCCCTTCCACAGGATCTCTCCACATCCCAGGCCCCATCCCACCATGGTTTGGGCCCTCCACCTACCGCCATCATGGGCTCTGGTGGACCCAGGCGGGCCAGATCACAAATGCCAACAATGAAGGCACGGCCAGCGGCAAGGTAATGGCGCCCACTCTCCAGCAGGCCATTACCCAGCTTGAGGAGCTAGGAAGCATCAGGGCAACAGGGAGTTGTGCCGTGTGCCACCAGACCCGGTGGACCCCCACTTCTGCCCTCTTCCTCTCCCCTTCCCTAGGGCTGTGCCCTCCTTCTCAACCTTGCCTACCGTTCTCTGCAGCCCAGTCCAGCTCTCCCAGTTTCTAACACACACCTGGTGCTTTCTCATCTCTGCTTCTTTGCTCCCACTGCTCTATGCCCGGAACAAAATTCCTCCCAGCCTGTCACCAAAGCCAGTGTCAGCTTCACCTCCAAATGTCTTTCTCTGTCCACTCCCATGCATCTCTCCCTGCCCTGCCCTGATTCTTGCATGTAGAGCTCCCCAGAAACTCCATCCTCATGCACTGTCTGGCTCACAGGATGAATGCTCTACCTGGCTGTTATTAAATTCTATAGTATTTACTGTCTCGAGTCATCCCACTCTGAGCTCACTGAACATTCTCTCATAAATATTAATTAGTTACCAAAGCCACAGGGAAGGGCAAAGATGGCATGCTAGGGTGCTCCTAGGGCCCGTTCTGTCTGCCCCCCCAACTGACAAATAAGGAGGCTTAATAAACAAGGGGACAAGTGACTTGCCCAAGGAGGGTGTCTCTGGGAGAGCCAGGTGGCTGCGTCAGAAGCCAAAGTGAGGTCTCCTGACCCCACCAGCCCTTGTTACCTGCAAGAACTGCATTGCCCCTGAGGTGACACCACTTGGCTCTGGCCTGAGTCACCACATCTAGGATGGAGCAAATATCTGTGGAGCCCTTCAGCTCAGCCCAGGGGACAGGAGACTACCAGGGAGGTTCTGTGAGGAAACCCTGGGCAGCAGAAGCTCAGAAAGCTTGGGCCACACAGGTGCTCAGTGAACTTTTGTTGAACTGAAGAACACTTTCTAGGGCAAGTGAAAGCTTCAGGGAAATACAGCTTGACTTGAGGGTGGCTGGCAGGGTCAGTAATGGTCAGAAAACTGACCACAACCAAGCCTTATCAGACGTCACCATGGGGTGTCTGTGACCAGGGACAAGGACCCAGATGCTCACAACTCCGCTGTGTGGGGCTGGGGGACCGAGTGTCCAGTTTTTTCTTCATCCACCACACCCTCCCCATATATCCAAATAAGGAACTTTCATGAGACTGAACTAGTGAGAAACTGGTACATCCATACAATAGAATAGTACTCAGCAATGCAAAGGAATGAACTATTCATACATGAACTACTGACACTCTTTATATGCAACAAATTGAATCAACTTCAAGGGCATTATTCTGAGTGGAAAAAAAAGAGCCAATCTTGAAAGGTCACATACTGTATGAATTCACTTATGTAACATTCTAGAAATGACAAAAGTCTAGAGATGGAGAACAGAGGAGTAGTTGTCATGGATTTGAGAAGGAGGAGGGGAGGGCATCATTATAAAGGGTAGCACAAAAGAGTTCCTTTGTGGTGATAGGAGTTTCATATCTTTTTTGTGTGTGTGTGTGTGTGAGGAAGATCAGCCCTGAGCTAACATCCATGCTAATCCTCCTCTTTTTGCTGAGGAAGACCGGCTCTGAGCTAACATCTATTGCCAATCCTCCTCCTTTTTTTTTCCCCCAAAGCCCCAGTAGATAGTTGTATGTCATAGTTGGACATCCTTCTAGTTGCTGTATGTGGGACGTGGCCTCAGCATGGCCGGAGAAGCGGTGCGACAGTGCACGCCCGGGATCCGAACCCGGGCCACAGGAGTGGAGCACGCGCACTTAACCGCTAAGCCACGGGGCCAGCCCCAGGAGTTTCATATCTTGAATGTGATGCTGGTTATAAGAATCTGTACACGTGGTAAAGCGCCATTGAATTATACACAAAGATTTTTTTTTAAAAAGAGTATATGTGGGCCGGCCTGGTGGTGTAGCAGTTAAGTTCACGTGCTCCGCTTTGGCGGCCTGGGGTTCACAGGTTTGGATCCTGGGCATGGACTGACGCACCGCTTGTGAAGCCATCCTGTGGCGGCGTCCCATATAAAGTAGAGGAAAATGGGCATGGATGTTAGCCCAGGGCCAATCTTCCTCAGTAAAAAGAGGAGGATTGGTAGCGGATGTTAGCTCAGGGCTGATCTTCGTCACACACACAGAAAAGTATATGCAAAACAGGTAAAATCCAAGTCAGGTCTGTAGACAGTTCATTGCATTGTGCCAATATCCATTTCCTGGTTTCGGTAATGTACTCTAGTTATATAAAATGCCACCGCTGGGGGAAGCTGGGTGATGGGTACGTGGGACCTCTCTGTACTATTTTTGCAACTTCTTGTGAGTCTATAGTTAACTCAAAAAATTGAATTAAAAAAATATATGTATAAATTGGTCCTCTGCTAACTTTCAGGCTCCAGTATAGGCACTGGGGATTGAGCAAAAACAAAACATAAAAGTCCCTCATGGCACTTACATTCTAGTGGGGAAACACAAAAAAATCATTACAGACACACACTAAGGCGACCCCGGGTGATTCCCACTCTTGCATAATCCCCACCCCTTTAATGCGAGCGAGACCTGTGATTTGTTTCTAACCAACAGAATATGGCAAAGACAATGGGATGGCACTCCCATGATTCAGTTACACCCTGTGGAAAAGGTGATGGATGCTTCTCCTGTGATTACATCCGATATAAACTTATGCCATCTTGCCAGCACCCACAAGAGAGACTCTCCTGCGGGCCTTGAAGAAGCAAGCTGCTATGATGTATACTGCCTACGGACAGGGCCACATGGCAGGGGACTGTGGGTATCCTCTAGGAGATGAGGGCCTCAGTCCCGCAACAGCAAGGAACTGAACTCAGCCAACAATCACAAGAGCTTGGAAGAAAACTCTGAGCCTCAGAGGAGCCTGCAGCCTGTGAGACCCTGAGCAGAGGACCAGCTAAGCTGTGGGTGGTTTCTGACCTACAGAAACTATGATAACAAATGTGTATTGTTTTTAGTCACTAAATTTGCAACTTGATACACAGCAATAGAAAACTAATACAGCAAATAAATATATAACATGTCAGATTGAGGTAAAAGCTATAGAGAAAAATAAAGCTGAGTAAGGGAAATGGGAGTGTGTGTGTGCATGTGTGTGTGTGTGCACGTGCATGCATGTTTTATAGAGAGGCCAGGGAAGGCCTTATTGTCTTGTGTTTAAGTGTTTCACAGTTGGTCCTCCACAGGCCGTCTGCGGGCTCTCTGGAGGTAGAAATAGTCTTGCTCTTCCCAAACACCCAGGGCCCAGCATAATGCAGGGCTCAAGAGTAGTCCACCAATGAGTCTGGTTTTTCAAGATCCCAAGCTCCTTAACAGCACAGAACCACCTTTCTCTTTCTCTGTACCCCCCAAATATTTACCCTGGAACATGGCTAGCATTCAATAATCCCTGGAACTCATTCTTGGTCTCCAACTTTCTCCCTGGCCCCGCCCCTCTCATCTTAATTGGCTCCTGGGTCACCTCTCCATGTCAGGATCACCTTTTCCAGCCGGGTCTCCAATTCTGACACTTCGGCTTCCACCAACTCGATAGAGGCTCTGGGAAAGGAGGGGTGGGGTCACAGGAACAGAGCTTGGGTCCATCTGGTCTGTCAGCCTCAGCAAGGTCAGGGATTGGGGTTAGGGAGTGGAGGTACAGACAGAAAAAGTGGAGGGGTTAAGAAGAGCCACCCACCCACCCTCTTTTGCTCAGCTCACTGCGCAGTGTAGGAGCTGCTGGCCCAGGCCAGAGCAGGAAGGGTAGGAGGGAGGGTGGATGTGGCGAGGGCAGGAAGTTGCTAACCGCCCAGAGCAGGTGCTGGGGGAGGGGCAGGGGTCTGGGTGAGGAGGAGGAGGGAATGCCAGCTCTGGGAGTGCGAGAGGCTGGAGCAGCCCCCTCCACATGCAAGGAGTGGAGAACATCAGAGCACCCAGTTTGATAGCAGAGGTCCTACTCTGGCCCCAAGCTCCATCTTGTCCCTTTGAGACTTACTCCCTGGAAGGACGTCTGGCCTGGGGAAGGTTGTGTGTGAGTGCGTGTGCATGTTGGGGGTTGTCGGACTACTCCCTCCCTGCCCTCCAGACCTGCTCGCACTTACCGGAAGCGAGGTGAGTCCTTAAGACACTCTTCGAAATCCAGCTTTACCGTCATCTCAGCTTGACTGCTCAGGGGCCAGTGGGCCCTGGGGCCCAGCAGGTGGGGATGCAGGTAGAGGCACTCCCTGCCCCAGAAGGGGCGTTGATGAGGAAAGAGAAGGTCCTCTCCTGGGTAGAGCCTGGGGGGGCGCAGATTTTTCCCCAAGGGGAAGGGGTGTCCTAGGAGGAGCTCTCACCCCACACTTCCAGGCAGTGCTGGGAGGGGCAGAGGCGGGGCCTGGGCGGAGGAGAGGGGCCTGAGATCAGAGAAGCCACAGCCACGCCCTCAGGGACTATCTGCTGTCACCTTCCTACTGGGGGCCCTGGTCTTTCTTTGCTTCTTTCTCCTTTAGTGGTTGAATTTGAGAGGCCTGGCAGATATAGTTTCAAATCCTGATTCTGTCACTTAAAGGTTGTGTGACCTTGGGCAAGCTCTCTGATTCCTCAGTTTTCTCATCTGGAAGATGGGGATGATAACCCCTACCTCCAGGGTTGTTGTAAGAAGTAAAGATGATACCGTAAATTTATGGTTGACTGAATCACACCAATCACTGTCATCCTGCTGCAGTTGGGCCTTCTCAGACTCCTAGGTTCTTGTTGAGCCCAGTTCCCCAGACTACTCCAAGCTTTCTTCTCTGCTCAGCCTGCCCGTGGTTTCCTGTGTGTGAATTTCCCTCTCTCCTCCCCTCTCCTCAAGGACGGAGCAGGCCCAGCCTGGGTCCCCAATTCACAGCACCCAGAGGCCTGCTCTTCTTCTCTTTATTGTCCACTCCTAGGGTGGTGAGGGCAGGGGAAGGTTGGTCCCCACCCCCTTCCCAGCTGGCTACATTTTCCATTGTCTGGCTTCCTCCTCCTGAGTCCATCGAAGCTGCACAGTTGCATCTGGAGAGAAAAGGGGTTGGGTTAGTAGCTTTTGTGCAGCAGGCATGAGATCTGGCCCACGCGACCCGCCAGATTCCCTAGAACCTACCCACTCAGCTCCTCTCCCTCCCTGGGCAGTGCAGGCAGCCCTTTGCCCCCACCAGGGCTCAGGCTCATGTCTGTGCTGGTTCAGTTTTGGGGAGTTTGGGTTGCTTCCAGGTACCCTCTTTGAGCTTTCTGGGCTTCGCCAGTTCAGCCCTTTGGACACCAGCCACTGACACCCGCTTGGGACCTACTGTCTTTGGAAGACAGGGCAGTACCTGGAGTAGGGTGGGTGGCAGAGAGGAGTTAGGGAGGAGGCATGGGGTCAGCAGGTGATGCCAAGCTGGAGAGGATCCCAACCCTTCTGAGCCTCCCTGGTTCCTCTCCGTACAACAAGGGCCTTGCACACTAGGATGTTTATGGTCTCTCTTAGCACCTGTTGCTGGTCTACTGGCCTGAAAGGGGTGGGGGTTGGGGGCATGGGAGCTTGCCAAGAGCCAGGCCCAGTGAGATGGTGGCCTGGTGTTCTCACCAGGCAGCAATGGTGTCACTGTCACCGTCAGGGAGTTCTCGGTAGCCTTGGGATCCTGAAAGTGGTTTCCTGTGTGGTCCAGCAGACGGACCTCAGTGCTTATGGGATTCTCCATCATCCAGTTCAAGCTTGTGGAGCCTGGAAGCATCATGGGGTCAGGGTTGCGGCATCCATCAATCTGTTGGTTCTCAGCCCTCCTGCCCCCAGGCTGACCCGGCCCAGCTCTCACTGTCCTGCTGCTCACATTCTGTGTCCTCCTCAAGCTCTGGGTGGGGAGAGCGCCTCAGGTATCTTCCCTTGCTATAATACTCCTTGCGTTGCAGATCAATCTCCTGCTCTAACACGATGGTGGCTGGAGCTGGGGACTGATTTCTGGAGGTAGGGAAATCTGAGGAGTCACCCAAATCAATCTGAGTCTCATACCTAGGGTATCCAGGCCCCTCAGGTGTCCATTGTGGCCCCCACCACAGGAGAGAAGCTCAAGCCCCAGGTTCTCATCTCACTTCTATCACCTCCTCCCATTTTAGAAAACCTCAGTGACCTCCCCAACCCCCTGGTTCTCTTGGGCATTCTGTTCCTCCTCACCAGCCAGCCTCCCCTAAGACTACCTTGATAGGGACCCAACCCCAGCTGCCCTCTGTCTTCCCTGGGTCACCTCCCAGCATTACCTCCCTCTTAGGCAGGGCCCTGGGCCAATGCCCACTGAGGAAGACAGGCTATGGTGGAGAAGGCTCTGGACTACAATTCCTTTGAGTCCCTGGGGCCCCGCCATAGCTAACCCTTGGCTTCTAGGATGTAGTTCTTGGTCATCAAGTCAGTCTCAACTTTGACTCCTCTGGCCAGTCCTCCTGCCCAGCTTCTCTCCATAGGTCTGGGCTCTGGGCTCAGCATCACACCTCGACTGCCACCTCCCATACTGACAATACTCCCATTGCTGTTTTTGTTATTATCCAATGGCAGGTTTTTCTGAGCCCTAAGGAACTTTCCTTCATCGTAGTGTGCCTTGCGGCGCTTCTCAAAAGCACTGGAGTCTGTGGGCCAGTGTAAGAGCTTGGCTTTCCCTCCAGGCTCTCGTTGAAGGTTCACTCCGCCTCCCCTTTTCATTCAATCCCCGACCCTCATCTCACGTGTCTTGGAAAAGTTGTCTGAAGACCCTGAGCTTCTGTTATCACTGTACTGGAGGACCTTGGGGCAGAAATTGTCCATTGTTGCAAACCTGAAGGGAGGGAGACTAGTTGGGGGCACCAAAGGAAGAGAACAACAATGGTGGCAGGTGATAGATAGGGCCAAGCTGGCTGACTCCCCCACCTTGGCCTTGGTCAGTTCTGATGGGAATTGTAGTCAAAAAAGCAGAGCTGGCTCAGACCCCAGAGTTCAGGAGCGGAAGGAGGAAGAGGTCCCACACCCCTGCTGAGCTCTGGCAGGACTCTCACCTCTCCGCCAGCTCTTCGGGAGTCATTGTGTGGGAGGAAACCTCAAGCAGGTCCTCATTGCTGTCCTGCAGCCTGCAAAGGAAGGAGCAAGCAGTGCTGGGAGGGAGGCAGCAGGCAATATCCAGTCCCTGCGGCCTCTCAGCCTCCTCCCCGTAACCCTCCTTTGAACAGGGAAGAGAGTCTGGGTTGAGGGGCCAAGGCTGAGGGCTCAGCACCTGTGGTAGGGAGTGCTGGGCTCATCCACCTTCATAAATCCGTAGTCCTTGTCAGCAGGGTGGTAGGTGGCCAGGATATTCATTTCATCCCAGCGCTGAGACTTTTTCCTGGGGTGGGGGAAGGACACAAAAAACGAGGAGGAAGCCTAGTGACCTCTTCTCACAGCCCTCCCTCATTCTTTCAGTCATTCAAAACCTTTTTCTTGCACCCTCTTTGTACTTCCAGAGGCGTAGGAGGCCTAATGATAATCACTTACAATGTAGCCAGGGTTGGTCCGGTACCTACTGCTCTCCCGCAAAGGCCTGGAAACTCAAATTTCCCACCCAATCGCCCTCACCTACTCTCACTTATAGTTCTCAGGACTCCACCCCTTCCCTCCTGGCTCCACCCCCTCAAAGTGTCCGGAACCCCACCCTCCCGGCTCCGAGCGGCGTGCCCACTGAGCTGGGCTCCTTACTTCTCCACACTGGGGGATTTCTGCATCGAGATGGAACTGCTGTTTTTGAGGATGCCCCGGGGCCGGTCCTCACAAGGTTTGTGGGGGTGCAAGAAAGTTGACCCAGGGCGCGAACTGCTTCCCGAGTTGTACACCCCAGACCCCCCGGACCCAAGGCTGGACGTCCCGGATGCACGGGTTCCAAGGAAGGGGGGATTAAATCCGCCAGGGTATGTGCCGGGCCCATGGCTGTGGCCCGCAACCTCCCCAGGGTGCTGGTTGGGCCCGGAACCAAGGACCGCTACCCCCTCGGAGGGCCGGCTGGAACGAGGACTGCGAATTACGACTCCCCCGGAGTGCAGGGGGGGGCCAGAAACGTGACACAAGACTACTTCGGAGGGCGGCCTGGCGCCTGCCTCGACTCCTCCAATGCCTCCTGGCACTCCCCTGGTTGCCCCTCCAGGGGATTCCCCGTTGAGGCAGCCGGCAGCCCCCAGAGAGTCCTGCTTCTCCATGGCCCCGCCAGGGGGCCACCCTCAGCTCCCCCGCCCCGCCACCCTACTCCACATAGCCCCGCCCCTTGAGGCCCCGCCCCCACCGCGGCGGGCGGGGGACGCTCGGGCTGAGGGCCGCATCCCCTCCCCTTCGGCTCCCTGGAGCCGCGGTGGGCGGGATCAAGACTCTATCTATATAGGGACCTCAGGCTGGGAGCCCCTCCCTCTCTGTCCACCCAAAGACCTTCTTTCTTTGTCTGTAGGATTTGTTCCCGCCCTTCTCCCTCATCCCCGCCCTCATCCGAATTATCCAATCATAGTCAGAGGTCCCGATCCGGGAGCGAGACGACTTAATTGTGACGTCACAATCCTCCAACCGTAGCGCGAGCATCGGGGAGTTGGGCTGGGGCCTTACTAATAGCTCTGGGGGATCTTTTGGGAACGTCAGCATCGTTGCTTGAAACTGCCTTCCAGGGTTTCTTTGGATTTTTTATTCGCGGCTTTAAAATCTAAGAGTTTGGTTGGATTGCAGTTCAAGGTGGGCTTGACTAGAAACAGCGCCAACCTTGTCTCCACCAAAAGTCGGCCCGCTTTGCCTCTCACGAGAGGTGATGCAAAGTGGAGGGATTGCGATACTGCTGTAAGATATATCCGCTCTCGGCGGTGTGGAGGGCAGAGATTTTCATTTATAAAGCTACCAGTTCCCTTCCTTGGGTCTTCCAAACCCCGCTCACACCGCTTTCAAGCGCGTAGCGGGAAGGGAAGACGACTCCTCCTCTTGCCGTAAAGCGAACACGTCTAGGTGTTGCCTGGCTTGACGAGGGCGGGGTCGTCGGTGCCGCTGTCGCAAAGCCGAAAGTGTTTGGGCGCCCGCACCTCTCCGTCGTAAAGATGCCTGCGGCAGTTGTTTCTCCCACTGTCGCAAAAGCTCCCTGCTGAAGTCTTCACTCTTCTCGGAGCCACTCCGTCACCTCTCCGTGCCGTAAAGCAAACCTGTCGACCCCGTCGTCCTTCTGTTCCCACCCTGGTAGTCTTAGTTCCCTAGCTGCCTAGGGATGCTTCATTGCCCAGCGGTGCCGTAAAGCATATCTGGCCCCAGCCCCTGGTCCTATTCCCTCAGGGAGTCTGTGCACCGCGGTTGCCACGGTGCCGCCAAGCGCGGCTGTCGCGCGGCCCCGGTGTCAGCGGCGATGGCGGCGGGGTCGGGTGGGAGTGGGGGCTCTGGGGGAGGCCCCGGACCGGGACCAGGCGGGGGTGGGGGCCCCGGCGGGAGTGGCCCAGGGCCGGGGTCCGGCGGGGTTCTGGGCAGCGGCGGGGAGCTGCACCCGCGCACTGGGCGCTTGGTGAGCTTGTCGGCCTGTGGGCGTATAGCGCGGCGACAGCAGCCGGGCCAGGAGTTTAACCACGGGCTGGTGTTGAGCCGGGAACCCTTGCGCGATGGACGCGTCTTCACCGTCCGCATCGACCGCAAGGTGCGGAGCTGGGGCCGCGGAACCGAGATGTGGAGGGTGGTGGGAGGGGACCAGAGGGAGACGGAGTAGGACAGCCAGGGTAGCCCACAACACCGGGTATCGAGAGGAAACCGACAGACCTTAGGTCACCAAGTGACGGGCAGAAAGGGAGTCTGAAATAGAAACATTCAGTCTGAAGGAGAAGGAAACAAGGAGAGCTTGAATTTGTTCAAGACCTAGGAGCAAGGAAGGGACAGGGGGCCTCACCCACTGGAATGACTAGGGAACAGACCTCCTGGAACCATTTCTGGGAGATGGAGATTGGTGAGATGTCAGAGATGTGATGGGAGAAGAGAGATAACCAAAGAAAGAACAAACCATGGAAGGACAAACTCACCGGTTGGACTGGAAAGATGCGTGAGAAGACAGAGGGAGGTGTGTGTACTCGTGTGTGATTTAGTGAAGAGGCCTGGCGCACAGAGGTGGAATTTGGGAACATAGTGAATCTGAGTGGAGCCAGAGCCTAGAAGAGAATGATATACAAGAGCAAGGAATAAATATGGGCATGGAGAGCTGTGAATTTGGGTGGTTGAGGAGCCCCAGAGACCAGGGAAGTTAGGGCAGGGGACTGGAGCCAGGGAATTTAGCTGGCATGGTGCGGAAAGGAGTGGTGTCGTAGACACCGAGCACCTAGAGTACCGAGCAGAGCTGCTAAGGGAAACTGGACCCAACAATCCCTGAGACAGAGTCGAGAAAATTACTTATGGGACCGCATCTCTGGATTAGTGTCTCACATCTCAAGAGAGAAAACCCATTTAGCTGTCTGAGAGATGGGAACAGGGGGATGCAGTGGCCTGTGAAATGTTTCCTAATGGTGGGAGACCCATTCATGACCCATCCTGAGTCTCTGTTCACCATTCCTATCATAGGTCAACTCCTGGAGTGGCTCCATTGAGATTGGGGTGACGGCACTGGACCCCAGTGTGCTGGACTTCCCAAGCAGCGCCACGGGGCTAAAAGGGGGCTCGTGGGTAGTGTCGGGCTGCTCGGTGCTGAAGGATGGACGTTCTGTGCTGGAGGAGTATGGTCAGGACCTGGACCAGCTTGGCGAAGGGGACCGTGTGGGCGTGGAGCGCACGGTTGCTGGGGAGCTTCGGCTCTGGGTGAATGGGCGGGATTGCGGTGTGGCTGCCACGGGCCTGCCCACTCGTGTCTGGGCTGTTGTGGACCTTTATGGCAAGTGCACCCAGATCACCGTGCTGCCCCCTGAGCCAGGCTTCAGCCCCCCTACTCCCATCCCCACACTTCCCCTCGAGCCCTCTGCCCCCCCTGAAGATTCTGCCTTGGCTGAACAGGGGACCTCTGGAGATGAAGGTGAGAACACAGGGCAGTAGTGGAGGAGTGGGGTGGAGGGAATGGCTGAAGGAATGGGGGAAATGTAGTGACAAGTGAGGCTGGGTGTGGGCAGGGACACTCAGACCCCAGAGTCTGTTGAAGGGGAGAGCAGGGGCTAGAGGAGGGGGTCTCCTGGCTGTGGGCCCTACAGCAGGGGCTGAACCCTTATTCCCCTCCCATCCCACCTGGTCCCCAGCCTTCATGGTGTCCCCAGCGCAGGCCCGGCCAGAGACGTTTCCTAACAGCCTTGAGTCGCATAATGGTGAGGGCTACGGGGAGGCCCTGGGAATGGGAGTGGGAAGTGAGGTGGACAAGGGAGGGATCTCAGGAGAGGGGTAGGGAGAGAGGGGCAAGCCTGAGGATGTAGAGCCTTATTTCAGCTTCTTTCCTCTGTCCTGCTGCTGCAGACTTTGCCAGCATGGAGCTCTCTGAGGTGGTGAGCAACGCCATCCTGTCTGCCTACAATGGGGGGCTTCTAAATGTGAACCTAAGCTCCCCATCAGCAGGGGAAGGGCTGGGGTCGAGCGGTGCTACCACCTCACCCATCCTCACTTCCAACGACGCCCTGCTCTTTCATGAGAAGTGTGGAACCCTCATCAAACTCAGCAACAATAATAAGACAGCTGAGCGCCGCCGGCCTCTAGATGAATTCAACAATGGGGTTGTCATGACCAACCGCCCGCTCCGGGACAATGAGATGTTTGAGGTGTGCAAGATCCTGGGATCCGGCTAGCACCTCGCCCTCTGGGAGCTAAAGATGGGGCTTGATCCTTGACGCTGGAAGGGTAGGGCCTGGGGAAAAGCCAATGGCTAAGGGTCCTTTCTCTGCATTTACATTCTCTGCCTCTCCCTTCTGCTGTCACTCTACCCAAGATCCGCATCGACAAGCTCGTAGATAAGTGGTCGGGCTCCATTGAGATTGGTGTCACTACCCACAACCCCAACAATTTGGAGTACCCAGCCACCATGACCAACTTGCAGTCAGGTACCAGCCCCTGGCAGGGTGGGGGTATGGGCCTGGGGTCGGTGAGGTGAAGGAAGCCCAAACTGTAACCAGGGTGTTCGCTTTCCCCCAGGCACCATCATGATGAGCGGCTGTGGGATCCTGACCAACGGCAAGGGCACCCGCCGAGAGTACTGTGAATTCAGCCTGGATGAGCTGCAGGTGAGGGTGGGCATGGGGTCTGGGCCACTCTCCAGGGACCCCGATACTCTGCATCCCTGCCTGGGCACCACGGTCCCCTCTGTGACTTTGGGCAAGGCCCTCTATCTTTTGCCAGAAGGTTCCCTCTGAGAAGGCAGGGTTGTCCAGCAGTTAGGCACTCAGATTTTGGAGTCATATAGGTTCGATTCACTTTTCTGTTTGGCCATTTGTGATAGTGACCTGAGGCAAGAACCTTCTCCTCTTTGGTAGTTTCTTCTTCTTTCCCCCTAATGTCTAAAATGAGCCTGTGAATAGGATTTTATAGATCGTCGTGAGCGGTAAACAAGGTGATGTTTATAGGGTGGTGTGACGCAGTGCCTGACTTGCATGGAGCGCTCAGCGCGGTCGGAGACTCACGGGAACCTTTTGGAGCTGTTCCTCTGGGGCGTGGGCTGGTGGGAAGGCTTTAGGATCACTCTGTTCTCATGGTCCCCAGGACAAGTCTGGAGCCTGATTGTGGGTGGATTCCAGACTGTCTTTTTCTGCTTTGGATAGGAGGGCGACCACATTGGTCTCACGAGGAAGTCTAACTCTGCCCTGCACTTCTTCATTAATGGCATCGATCAGGGTAAGGGGAAGCGCAGAGAGGGCCGCTGGGCCAGGGCTTTCAGTGGGGGGTCTGCACCTCATCCTCCTGCCTCTCTTTGATGCTTGTTCTCCCTAATTTGATTCTTCTCCCCTCACCCCCCCATTCCCTGTGCCTTCCACCCCCATAGGTGTGGCTACCCCACTGACGCCCCCAGTGGTGTATGGTGTGGTGGACTTGTATGGGATGGCAGTGAAGGTAACCATCGTCCACGATAACAACCATAGCGACCGTCTACGCCGGAACAATGCCATCCTGCGGGCGCTGTCCCCTGAGGGTGCTCTGCGCCGTGCCGCACCTGCTGCCCAGGCAGAACCCGAGCGCTTGCTCTTCCACCCCAACTGTGGGCAGAAGGCAGCCATCACCCACGAGGGACGCACAGCCTTGAGGCCCCAGTATGGCCCACGGGGTGGGGAGAAGCATGCAGAAGGGGCTCTCATAGGATTGGGGGGAGGGGGAAGGAAGTGGGAGGCAGAGAGAATTCTGGTCTGGGGAGTCCTAGACGGAAAAGTGGGGAGCCTCCTGGAGTGTGAAGTTTAGCAGGTTGATTTAGGGCAGTGGGTGTCTGGCAGGCATCGCTAGGCTAAGCTGTGGCATGCTGAGAGTGAGTGTTGGGGTCTCAGTCCCCACTTGCTGTGC